GTAGATCATCTAACCGACCATATTAATTTGATCTAATTTTATTATTACTATATATAATATACGGAAAATGTTCTCTAACTAGTTTGTTCACTTTACGTGTGTTTTTAACAGGGGCGAAATGAAGGAGTATATGAAAAATATAATTGATTTGTAGGAAAAGATATCTGAATTAATGTCAGAAGCGTTGGGGCTCAGTAAGGATCACCTATCGAGCGCCGGATACTTGAAGTCTATCAAGTTATCGGGTCACTATTACCCGGCTTGCCCTGAGCCCGATTTGACTCTAGGCACAATCAAACACTCGGACCCTTCCCTCCTCACCTTAGTCCTACAAGACAAGAGCAAGGGCCTCCAAGTTCTCCATAATGATCAATGGGTTGATGCACCGTCGGTGGACGGAGCTTTAGTGGCAAACATTGGTGACTTTATGCAGGTAGACTCGCTCTTCATACCATATTATTAATTAATTTTAGAATCAACTTGGCATTGGCCTAGTAGTATTTCCACTGATGTGGAGCTACGTATAAATTTGCAGTTACTCAGTAATGACAGGTTCAAGAGCGTGAAGCACGGAGTACTGGCTACCCCGCTTGGCAAGCCAAGAATATCAGCTGTATCTTTTTTCCTTCCTTGTTCTAAGGACAGACTTAAGCCATGTGGACCAATCAAGGAGCTTCTGTCTGATATCAGTCCCCCCATATACAGGATTACCTCTTATGAAGAGTTTATGAACCATTACAGAGTTGTGGGGCAAATTGGCGGCGGTGCCCTGCCTCACTTTAAACTGTAGCTGGTGAGCCTATATATGCATGTGGCTTGGCTGCCATATGCCCTAGCTAACGCCTAAGCGCGGATCCAATTACGATACCTTCATGCTGTACTATTCCATGAAAATACTATACTCGTTTGTTGGGTCATCTTGGTGCGTTAAGTGGTACGTTTAGCCTATGAAGTGGTGTAACACCATTTTTAAAGGTCAAATGTATATTTTCATGTGTTCATACTGTGTATGTGAATGCGAATGTACTGTAAAAGAATCATAGCTCTTCAAATTTCGTAATCGTAATACTAGTGCAGCGCATCTGTATTAATGATTTTTGAATTGCGTGGTTTACACAAGTTTATTGCTTGCAGTTCCCGAATGACTACAGTGCTTGTATGTTTTTATGATTCAATAATTTTATTTTAAAAAAAACTTAATTATTGTTTTACTCCCCGAAGCGGGTACTCGGTTTCACTTTACACTATTGAAACTGATATTTTCCCACTTAATCCTCACAATTTCTAAAAATTACTGAAATTTTTTTATTTTATCACTTCCATATATTTCTGTCCACAAAACCATTAAATATACTAACATGGAAGTGGAATTTTAGTAATTTTAGCTATTAAAAAAAATTAAATCCAAATTAAATACAAAAAAATATATTTTATTTTTTTTCTGGTTAAATTTTTTTTTAATCTGAAAACATTTTTCTTGCATTCAATATTAATCAAACCCCACCATCAAACCCATCACCTAGTCAGACCACCCCCACCAAACCTCACTGTCACTTCCACCCAGTTAAATCCCATCCACACCAACAACCCTACCCATACCAAATCAGACCGCCACCATCCAATCGAACCCACGAGAAACCTCACCCATACCAAATCGAGCCGCCACCGTCAAACCCAACCAACCAATCTGCCTATCGAACCATCACTGTCCATTGACCAGTGAAATCGGAGGTAGAGCGGCGAATCTGTGAGGGAATCAAAGAACGAGAGAGAGAGAGAGAGAAGAGCCCGAAAGTTTGAGAAGACGGGGTATTTGTTTTTAATTTTTTTTATAATAAATAGTATAGCCGTTTATATATATATATATATATATATTTTTTTTTTTTTATGCTATAGAATGCCTGAAAGGGATTCTCGTGCATTTTTTGGTTCGCGACGCGTCTGATATCTGAGTTGTGCAAGGATTATTTTACTGCGGCCGGCCAAAAACTCGAAATGTTAGTTATCATCTGTATATTTTTACTTGGGCAATGATTTTCAAGCGGATGAAATGCACAGCCAACTTTAACTGTTTTTCAAAACAAAAACCTCTTCTTCAACGGCCCAAACCCCTGCCTCAGGACCCATCATCCATAGTTGAGAAGATAAAGAAATGTTCAACTTTAACAGAGCTAGAACGAGTATGTGCCTCAATGATCAAGACCAATGCTACCCAAGACTCTTTCTTCATGAACCAACTCATTACCGCCTGTTCGACGCTTTCCCGCATAGATTATGCAGTTTTAGCCTTTACCCAGATTGAAAGTCCCAATGTTTTTGTCTACAATGCGATGATCAAAGGCTTTGTTTGTTGCGGTCACCCATGTCAGGCTTTAGGTTGTTATGTCAATATGCTCAGGGACATGGTTTTGCCTACCAGTTATACTTTTTCATCGTTAATCAAGGCCTGCACTTCACTATCTGCGTTGGGGCTTGGAGAAGCTGTTCAGGGCCACATTCGGAAACATGGGTTTGGGTCACATTTGTTTGTTCAGACTTCTTTGATTGATTTTTATTCGAAGTTGCGACGAATCAGTGAATCCAGAAAGGTGTTTGATGAAATGCCTGAAAGAGATGCTTTTGCGTGGACTACTATGGTTTCATCTCACGCTCGAGTGGGGGATATGAGTTCCGCGAGGATATTATTTGATGAGATGGAGGAAAGGAACATAACTACTTGGAATACTATGATCGACGGCTACGCTAGACTTGGCAATGTGGAGTCTGCGGAGTTGTTGTTTAATCACATGCCAACTAGGGATATTATCTCATGGACTACTATGATTGATTGTTATTCTCAGAATAAGAAATTTGGGGAAGCATTAGCAGTTTTTAATGACATGAGGATGAAAGGGATCAGTCCTGATGAAGTGACTATGGCAACTGTTATTTCAGCTTGTGCCCATCTTGGAGCCCTTGACTTGGGAAAGGAGATACATCTTTACATATTGCAAAATGGGTTTGATCTTGATGTTTATATTGGCTCTGCATTGATTGATATGTATGCTAAGTGCGGCGCATTGGATAGGTCTCTTTTGGTTTTCTTTAAATTGCAGGACAAGAACCTGTTCTGTTGGAATTCAGCAATTGAAGGACTTGCAGTTCATGGATTTGCCAAAGAAGCACTAGCAATGTTTAGCAAGATGGAGAGAGAGAAGATCAATCCGAATGGCGTTACTTTTGTAAGTGTTTTAAGTTCCTGCACTCATGCAGGGCTTGTTGAAGAAGGCCGTAGGAGATTTTCAAGCATGACCCAAGATTATTCCATTCTTCCCGAAGTTGAACACTATGGATGCATGGTGGATCTATTGAGCAAAGCTGGATTGCTTGAAGATGCACTAGAGTTGATAAGAAGCATGAAATTTGAACCTAATGCTGTTATCTGGGGTGCCTTGTTGGGTGGATGTAAGCTTCATAGGAACTTGGAGATTGCTAAAGTTTCTGTCAATGAATTGATGGTATTGGAGCCAAATAATAGTGGTTATTACACCCTTTTGGTCAACATGTATGCTGAAGCCAAACGATGGCGACAAGTTGCAGATACACGAGCAACTATGAAGGAACTTGGGGTAGAAAAGGGATGTCCTGGGTCCAGTTGGATTGAAATGGAAAGGAAAGTCCATCAGTTTGCAGCATCTGATAAATCTCATCCAGCTTCAAGTGAAATTTACTTGTTGCTGGCAGAATTATACGGGCAGCTGAAGCTTGATGCTTATGTTCCTGAACTTGGCTTTGAGTTATAGCAGTCCACTCTTCAAAATGAGAAATTGACATCCAGAGGGTAATTGGTGATTCTGGGATTGGATGGCATGGTTCTCATATTGATCAGTACCTAAACTGCAACAGTTGCAGTTTACATATCACAAGGAGAAAAGGGAATGCAAAATATACAGAGACATGCAAGAGATGAAGATCCATTCCTCTTAGAATAATCTGTAGCCGATATGTGCTTGCATTCTTCATGTGATTTTTGATCAGATGAAATTATCTCAGCAAATGTACTTCCATCGAAGCAGACGCTTTAAGTGAAACAGGATTTCCTGCGAGAGAGATTAATATATTTTCTTTCAAGATCGTTACAAACACAAAATAAAACAAACCAGTGCTATCCCATGATATAAAAGTTTTCAAATTAAACAAAAGCAATCACAATATACAAAATAAAAATAAAAATTAAATTGAATTGCTTCTTAGCTTTTATAATTTCGTTTCAAATTAAAATTAAAAGCTTGGAGTAAGGATTGGACAGGGGCCGCGCGAACGCAGGCCCCCACTAACACAAATTATGACGTTGGCTCTCCCACTTGGGGAGACCATAGGGTAGCACCCCTCCGAAGTGCAATGGAGGTCACTAACCTAGGCCATGGGCTTTCTTGATCACCCAAAAACCCCGTCCAGGTAAGTATGTTTCAATGAGTATGGTCGACTTATTTTATACAGGCCTCACCCTCCAACTCTCCTATGCTCTGTCGATGTGGGACAAAACTGAAACAGACTAAAATAAAATCCACCAAAACAAGAACACTCTCTTTGAGTCTTTGAACAATTATGAAATATTATATGGGTTGTGTTGCAGTTTGACCCAGCTATACTTGTTCTTATCTACCAGGCCAGAAGGGTATTCAATTGGGTTCATTTCTATGTTGTGCTGCTATCTATTGAAAAATTGTTACTGTTATTTGGCCACCACCAAAGTTATCAACTTCATAGCAGTAGCTTGAGCAAATCTACAACTTCAGAAACCTTGAAACCTTGAATTTATCATTGGAACAAAGATCAAATTTGCATATTTGCATATGAATTCAAGAGCATTTCAAACCAAATTCAAGTCCCTCCTCAGTAATATAAGCATTGGGTTTGTTGGCTTGTTCTTACTGAAGCTTTAAAACCAAATTCAAGGGTATTTCAGTAAACTATCAAAACTAGTCCCTTTTACGCGCCCATGTCTTTGAAAAAAGAGCGTTCCAGCGCGGCAGTGTCCCGAAAGACATCTTCTTTTGGACCATAATACCCTCAGTATCCTCCCTTTTCTCTCTCTTCCGTCTTAAAGAAGCGAGAGAGAGTGTGGGTGTGTGTGTTTCAGAGCGGACCCTAAATTTCTTCTTTCAGTGTTTCGGTCTCTGACTCTCTGTAAGAGTTAAAGACAATGGCTTTCACTTCGTTTCTTGGCAGAGTTATCTTCGCCTCTGTTTTCATACTCTCTGCTTACCAAGAGTTACTATAATTTACTACATATCTTCATTCTGTTCTTTAAATTTCCATACTTTTTGTTGATTGTATAGCATGTAATTTGTTCTTTGCAGCCAGAAAATTTCTGGGTTCCTGTTTAAACATGTTTTAATTTGGTTGGTATGCTTTTCTGCTTGGATCTGGTTCATTTTTGTTTCCATTATCTTGTTTTATCTTCTTAGACTGAAGCATGTATACAGATTTTCATTTTCATTTCGTTTAATTCCAGTAGAACTTTCATTTTTCAAGGGCTTGAAGTAACTTCCATCGCTACAGAGTTAGTTTCTAACAGCTATTAGTGAGAGTAGGCATCGAAAAGTGTATGCTTTTAAAAGGATATTGGCATATACTTGGTTATCATTTTGTTGCTTACTGCAATTGGGATCTTTATGGACGATTAGCTTATTTGTTTAATTATTGGGAAAATGGGTGCTATTCTAGTTAGTAATTTTTTAGTTCACAATATTAGGAAACTTAATGATCCTTTGTAGCCTGCTCATTCAATTTATTATGCTGCTGAGACATTGTGGAAAGTTTATACTTACTGCTTAAGCTTGTTCCTCAATGACATGATATAGACTCTTAATTTTGCTATCGTATCAACGTTCGCAAATTTTATGGCTAAATATGCATCATAAGCTGATGAAAACATGTTCTTCATGTTTGTTGTATCACAAATCTGGGGAAAGGTCTTCTTTTTACTAGTTTTCCTCCACTCCTTGTTTAGATGGGTCTAAAAAAACGCTCTGTCGTGTTAACCCATTAAAAAATTTCCTAGATGTTAAGTTTGATATATTAAAACTAAGTTTATGCACATATTTGTTCGCAGTATAGATGGCTGTTAATCAATGTAGGTGTAATATTTCTTTGGCACCAGATTACAAGTTATTTCATTGAATTTTGCTCTCTTTATCTGGAACACTTCTAAATTCCTTGTGTGAGAAACTGAAGTTTTCCTTCATTAGAGAAGTATCATGGTGTATCTGGTTGTTAGGAAGCACCAGTTTCGCTTTAATTGTCATTGATCAGCCTTATAGCACGTCTCTTATATAGTATTGTGATGTCTTTCTCTTGATAGGTTCAACGAATATAATTCTGATGGGGGACCAGCAGCAAAGGCTTTCGGACCAAAGTTTGATGTCTTCACAAAGCATGTGCAATCTCACATTGGCAAACAAGTGCCAGAAATCAAAGTGAGGATCTCTCACTATCTCAGACATGAACACGCATCTTAGTTAGCAGATTGTTGAATCAATGAAAGGAGCATGTTTTGAAACTGCTAAGATGTAGAAAGGCCTCATAGTATTTTCTTGTACTATTCAAAGGGGTACCCATCCAGTAAATATAAAATCAAACAATATCTTGCACATACAAAGTCTTGAAGAAAAAGTATTAGTTGCAAAGGTCATGTCTGGTTTATTATTAGCTTGATTTTGATTTTTGTTGTGCACAGATTGCACGCTTAGTTGCCGCCACTATAGCACTCAAGGGCATTGGAGGCATCCTCTTCATCTTTGGCACTTCTCTTGGAGCCTATCTCCTGGTTTGTTTTCATGCTCTGCTAATTCACGTTTCCATGTGCCATATTGGAAATTGGAACAGTTTTGATATATATATCTTTTTACTTGGTGCAGCTTCTGCATCAGATGATTGCCACTCCTATTTTATATGATTTCTACAATTATGACAACGAGGAGAAAGAATTTACACAACTCTTCATCAAATTTACACAGGTTATACATATAGTCTTTTGAATACTAGCATGGAACTATCACCAACTGCATTGTAAATTATGCCCAACTTTTCCTCTCTGCAGAATATGGCTCTTTTTGGGGCATTGCTGTTTTTCATTGGGATGAAGAACTCAATTTCTCGGAGACAACCGAAGAAGAAGGTTCAGAAAACAAAAACTGTTTAGGAAGGAATTAGCCTTAGAAATTGGGTTCATTTTGCGGTTTAGTAACTTCTACCTTAAACTGATGGTTTTAGCCAGCATGTATGATTTAGGCCACAATCTTCTTTTGAACTCTTTTGTGTACTTTACTTTCGTGGTAATTGGATTTGATTCTCTTAGGTAGAGCTGGTTTCAAATGATAACCTGCTTTAAAAATTATAGTAAACCTATTTATGAGTAATCACCAAATTGCACCATGAGGATTAAGATACCAGATCAAGTTAGGCATCATGCAGAACAAAGAGGGTGTCAACTTTGTGAGTTGCATGATTGAACCCAAACAATATCAATTAGAGTCTTGGTCTTCAGGCCCCCAAATATTTTTTTTTTTTTTTAAAAAAAGGGGAATGTGATAGGCTGATTGCTCGTAGTTACTTAACGGATTTTGAGCCATCGATAATGTGAACTCTGCAATTAATTTCACATTTATCGACGACTCATAATTCGTCAAGTCTCCACGCACAATTGATGCAAGCAGTCTTCGAAAATGAGCTTTGGTCTTTTAGTGGACAGGACCACCCCTAGCCGCCCAACACAGCATGTGGTCTCAAAGTATACGTTAACATATAGAAAGATGTCAAATCTCATTGATTCATAGATACTGCATGCTCTCATGGACTCAGACGCGTCCTCCTCTTGAGGCTGGGATCCCATGTGAGCTTATTTATGTCACCCAACCTAATCCCGAATTAGCTATTAGGTGATCTGTCACATTGTTCTCTTTTAATGAAAGATTATGCTTCTAAAATACGAATAGATGACACAATCACTAGACTCTAAAAACTTAAACGAGTCGTTAATAATCCATCGACTCGATTATTAACTTATCACTGACGTGACGTGGAGTGGTCCGAAGAAATAATGACCTAATTACAATAGTAATCCTTTCTGACTTTGTTATATTTTCAACAACTCGCATATGATGCCAAGTTAAAAGAGAAAGAGACTTCCAATTATACTCCATTATAGCAAAAAGAAAAAAGAATCAAATTGCTTTGCGTGCATTTCAAACTTTTAATCCAGAATAAATGCCAGATAGTGGTCTAGTTTGCCTTTTCCAGAGCCACGTTATCCAATCCTGAAATGTAGACAGTGCAGAATCATTTGCTTGTTTTGGAAGTGGCGATCCGGAAAAAAACGAACTTTATAGCAAGACTTTCCTTTTCTGTTGAACGGTGAGATACAGTGACCAAAACAATCTAAGGAAAAAGACATTTTTCTCTTCCAACCTTTATATTATTTGCCTTGTTAACATCTCAAGATTGTGATCTCAAGGAAAAGCCAGAACTTTAGTATCTCACTTTCTTGACCTTTTGTTTAACTTTTTAAACTTCCTCACACAATTTTTAAATTGGTAGAAGGCATCTGGTCTTTCAGGGAATGTAAGAGCCTCTTGTGCCCCTTCTTTTTGCTTTGAAATGGCCTCCTCCTCCATTTCTTTTCATCTGAGATAAGAAAAAGCAAACCCTTTTTTAGTTTTCAAAACTTGATCACCACACCTACCCCTGCTGCTAAGATGGAAGATGGGTCACAGCCAAAATATGACAGAGTCAAGGAAGTGAAGGAGTTTGATGAAACAAGAGCTGGAGTTAAAGGCCTTGTAGACTCAGGGGTAACAAAAGTCCCAAGGTTCCTCATCCATCCACCACAGAGCCTTTTAAGTTCAACCACAGCCAATATACAATTCCAAGTTCCAGTCATAGATTTTGATGGCTTTGATCATGATTTTCGGCGTGTGCAGATTGTCAAGGAAATTCAAGAAGCATCCGAAACATGGGGTTTCTTTCAAATGATCAATCATGGGGTTCCAGACAGGGTTATAGGCAATATGATAGAAGCAATTCGACAGTTTCATGAGCAGCCAGAGGAGGTGAAGATGGAGTTGTATTCCCGAGACTCTAAGCAAAGAGTTAGATTTTACTGCAATGGAGATCTGTTGGTATCAAAAGCAGCAAACTGGAGAGATTCAATAGGCTTTGATTTCCAGGACGGACCATTGGACCCCGAGTCATTTCCCTCCGTTTGCAGGTACTTCACCTAAACAAACTTCGTTTATTTATAAGTATTGATAGTCTGAGAGCATAACATATTAAATAACCTGACAGGAGATTGGTTTGATTCGCAGAGAGCCCGTGCAAGAGTACATTAAACACTTGATCAACCTAAGAGAGGTGATATCAGTTTTGTTGTCAGAGGCCTTGGGGCTTAGTACGGATCACCTAGAACGCATAGAGTGTATGAAGACTGAAAATCTGGTATGCCATTATTACCCAAGCTGTCCAGAACCAGAGCTGACCCTTGGGGCAACCAAGCATTCAGATCCATCCTCTTTGACTGTGCTCTTACAAGACAATCTTGGTGGCCTACAAGTCCTCCATCAAGGTCACTGGGTTGATGTTCCTCCAGCTCATGGAGCTCTGGTGGCCAATATTGGTGATCTAATGCAGGTATAGGTTTCATAAAGTCAATGTCAAAAACTTCAGTGACACGGTTTCATTCACCTCCTCTCTGTCTCGTGATAACTAGTCATGTGATGAGAAAGACAAAAAGGAGGTGTATCAAACCGTTTTAAGAAAGTTTTCCTCCTAAACTAGACTTTGAAACAGCTCTAGAAAAACATGAGAGGTGACTTAATCTTCACATTACGTGCAGCTTATTACTAATGACAGGTTCAAAAGTGTGGAGCACAGGGTACTGGCTGGAAAAGTGGGGCCGAGGATATCAGCTGCATGTTTTTTCTATCCAAGTGCTACACATAGATTTAAACCCTATGGGCCAATTAAGGAGTTTGTGTCTAACAACCTACCTATATACAGGGAAACTCATGTTGGAGAATATCTTGCCTATTACAAGTCAAAGGGATTAGATGGTAACTCTGCCCTTACTCATTTTAAATTAGCCTAATTTAATCTCTACTTTCTTTGATCCTATAGTTCAGATTATAATCCCAATTATTTTAGTTGACTTCAATTTTCTTTCTTTCGTTTTTTCAACAAATCAAAGTAACAAAATGCATGCACTTTAGATTGAAGTTTTATCACCCAGTATATTAGAAACTGAAATTTTATCTTGAAACTTGTTTCATGATAATGTAGAGAAGAAAAAAAAAATCAAACTGGAAAAAGACACATGCACTAGATACTCCTAGAAAGACTATTATCCAAGTATCATCCTCCCAAACAAATGACAGGCAAATTACAACAGAACAAAAGGATAATAATAAATCGCACCTTTCTACCTCCTATGGGCTTTTCTCTCCTTTTCTTTTCAATTATGGAGGGTTCAAACCCAGACCAAAAAAAAGGGAGGGGGTTCAAATTAAAACGAAAACCGTAAATGCCAATCACAAATGACTCACAATAATTTACAAAGTAACCTACAGAGCCACTCCAGGAGCGAGACAAGCTATAGCTGTTGCATGGGGTTCTTGGGCTGCAATATTTGAACAAGGGACCACAAGATATCCATTCTGTGTATGCTTCTGTTGTTCTGCCCCTGCAGTAATTCAGAATTCAATTTTAGTTCGACTGTAAACACCAGGTACAAACTTACTAGATAGCAATCCAGTGTGGTGGAAACATGCAAGCTTTTAGATTGTCACACGGGTACAGATATAAGCAAGTTTGGCTGTTTTTATAGGTACGTCGAAAAGCAAGTCCATTTTATAAATATCAACATTCTAAGTGTATTCATACGGTCATGACATCTTGAGGCCTAGCAGCTCATTTGGCATGAATTTTTTCAGTAGCATGTCATGCCACTGATCTTACCTCAACCACAAAACATATCCATGTCTTGTCACTACGGGCTTCTGTTACACCTTTTAAGATTGTCAGACCCAAGCTTCTGATAGCTTCTGCTATCTCAAGAAAATGACTGCATTCTTCGCACATCATCTGCATAGATCAGTCAGAATGTTTGTAAAAATGAGAATCAATTAAAGGCAAAGAAACTCATAGCAGAAAAGAAAAAGAAAAAATTGCAAAAATAACATATGATAAACTTCATAACTGGAGGACCGAATTAGACACAATCAAGCATAACATCTCCAGAAGTTCGTGTATAATTAAAGAAAAGACACGCTAGTATTCACAAGTATTGCATACCTCTACAACCATCTGCCCATTCTTGTTGAGGTTCTCTACCATTATTGAACAAACTTTCAGATTGCCTCCCACCTCCACTGCCCAGCTTGATCCCCGTTCATAATTAGAGGATCCCAACATGCTTGCTTCCTTGTGACACAGCTGTGAATTTAGCATTATGATTAAGTAGATTAATTCAATAAACATTGCATATTCTTGCCAATAATTAGTTTGCAATTGCAAGTCCTACTACTCAACTCCTACTTGAAATCTGAAAAGCTCTTCCATCACATAGTAGAGGCACAAAAAAGAGAGTTATTACTCACTGTCTGCTATGAAACAGTGACATATATATATATATATATATATATATATACAATTAGTCTCTGCAGATGGTTTTACAAGGTGGAAGCTTCAGAAGAGCATACTCATAATCCAAACAGAAATGCTAACCAAACAAAGGTAACCAAATAGAGCCCACTTTGTAAACTAAAAATGAAGGTTGAAAGTTGTCAACTAATCCCAGGCCATAAAATACTTGACCAAAAACATTTACCTTTGCATCAGCACACTTATTAAGTTTGTCTGCATGCTTAGTGATGCTTTGTAGAAAGAGCATGTGCTTGATTGTACGCTCCAGCAGTGAATCAATACTACACTGTAAAATTATCATGAAACATTTAGCATATATAGCATGAATCTACAAATTTTTCAAGTCCAAAACCCAGACAATAGTTTGGAAAGTCACCTTTGCTCCATTAGGTATTAGCTCCCGCAGCTCCTTGATACGATCTTGGATCAATTGCCTGTCCCTTGGCCTAGGCCTAGAATTCTCACCAGGTCTAGCCCTCTTCTTGTTGTTTTTAGATGGTCCAGAAGACCTCTCCAGCTGCTCACTACAAGCACTAGGACAAGGCGAGGAAAACCATTTTGGGGATATCACCCCGCATACCCCTGATGAGCTCAAGCATTGTTGTGTGTCCTCTGCTATAAGAGAGGGCTGATCAATGGAATAATTTTCTGAATCAATTGTATGTGTCGTATGACTAGAAGGCTCTGGATACTTTTCAGTTGTCAACAGAGACTGCATTGATTTACAGAATGATTTTTCACTTTTAACATCATTGCCACTGTGGCAAACATTGGCCACCACTGCTTCAAGAAGATGCTCTTGGCAAGAATCAGATGTCAACTGGCCAGTTTTCATCCCCTCAGGCATCTCAATAGTAATTCCATCTCCATTCTTCTCTGCTTCCCAATCAAAATAGTTACCCTTATTCAGAAAAGCTGGCCCAAGTGCTTCATGCAGCTCACAGCCAGCAGGGAATGCCATAGATGTACTAGATGTGTCCATGTGACCTGATTCAGTTTGAAAGTCCAAGTTTTCCAGGTCCTTCTGAAACTTAACATCTGAGGGTTCAGTTACTTGCAACACCTCATTTTGGTAAAAATCTACCCTGTCCACATTAACCCTGCCATGTGCAGCAGAGTTGAGAAATGTTGCAGATAAGTCTGCAGAATCACATAAATTAACATTTTCTTGAACAGAACCATGTGATAATGGATTGGCATAGATCATTGAAGTCATCCTAGTATCTTTGCAGCCACTACTCTCCCCTTTAGACTTCGTCCTATCAAGTAATTCCACACCTACTAGTTTGCTATGCTCTGAATTTAAGATACTTGATTTTGACTGATGTAGTTTGGCGCTCTCAAGACACCCTAAGTTAGATGACTCAAGTCCTCCATGCTTATTGACCAGTTCAACTGCCTTTTTCAGACAATTTTCAGGCAGTGGAAAAACGTAAGAACTATCACTGTCTTTCCCAATATGTGGGAAAACGGACGACCAAACATCTGGGCTTTCTTCTCTGTTTGCGGCTTTATCTAAATTATGTAGGCAATCAGTAATAACCCCTGAAGCCAAACCTTTAGGAGATATACTTGTCTGAGGAAGAGAGAGAGAGAGAGAGAGGAGAAAAAAAAAAGGGGTCAGTGTCCTAATTTTTGTGTCACAAGAAGGAAAATCATAAACTTGCTTCATATATGCACATGCACAAACTAATTGACGCATGCACAGACAGACATAGTGAGAGTGAGAGAGAGAGAGAGAGAGAGTTACCAAGCATACTGAACTGTTTATGCCAGATTGCGATGGATTACGGATCTGCTCTACTGGGGAATCTTGAAGTGTACTAAAAACATCTCTTATTTCAGATACCAGCTTCACATTTTCAATGACCTGCACCTCTCAAATGGAAAACAGAAAAATAAAAATAAATCTACATTTGAAAAATGTATAGATTGCAAGCATAAATAACTTATTTGTGACAATGAATATACAAACCATAATTATGACACATACAGTTTTAAAAATTTCAACCGCTTGTGGTCACAATGGAATAATAACAAAATTGCATGGACTTGGACAGTAAAGTACACAAATCATTTTCATAGCTATAACACCGCAACAAAATTAAGAATTAACCACATACTATATCATACAGAATTACAGATGTTTATTTTGTAATCCCATAGGATAAGAAACCACACAAACACCAACTCAAGCATTACTTAAAGTATTCATTATTCACTCAAAAGAAAGAACTTACTTTATTTAAAGAACCAAGCTGTACAACTCCATGTGGAACGGCCACAACGACAATGGTCTACAGGAAATGGCAAATAATTCAATTTAGCATGACATGCAGAACATCTAGTAGAAATCATAATCATAACAAAACAAATGCTTATATAAGAAAACATATATGTTAGTGAAAGCATTCAAAAACCCGAACAAATTTGCATTCAGCATCTAACCAGCCATCAACCTACCACCCTATACAAAAAGACGAATCCTAATCCATATCTTGCCTTGCAAAGAAAGAACTTCGAGAAATGAAATTTTATGGCTAATTTTCATTCAGCTCAATGAACAGAGCAAAAGGGTTCTACGAGTGAAGCAGATGCCTAAACCAAACTAATAGACAAATAAGACAATATCGCAGGCTATCCCATGATTATTCATGTTTTCTCATATATGACTATGCCCAGAAGAAACAACGGTAATTAAAAAGTGCATCACAAAAGCAATACCGTCATCAATTCTTAATTTATTTCCAATTTATCTGTCCTGGCAGGGTAGTATCTCATTAAGAAAAAAAATTAAAAGGACAGAGAGAACGAGAGAGAGCAAGGCATACCCTTATGCCAGCTGAAAATTGACTTTGCCACCCATCACAGTACTGAAAAACACCCAAAGCATCAAAGCTTAATAAGAATGAGTGGCAAACCAATTAAATATTAGTACTGCAGAGCAGCAACCGCTTATCAATATCACACACTTTCAAAGTAAAATATGCTAATTATTATATTTCTGTATAATAACAAAACATTTACCTGGAATGGTGAACAGTTATTCTTAAATAGATTATCAGCAAAAATCCACTGATGCTTCCTGGTAACCGCCACTTGTCCAACAATCCTGAAAAGGAAAGTAATAATGCAAATTTATGAGCTCTTGTTCTTTTCCTGTTTCTTTCCATGCTATCCAGCTACCGTAATCAGAATGATGCTAACAGCAAATATTGAGAAAGAGCATAAGCTTAGTACATAAATACTGGAAATGGTTTTTCAATTTACAGTTTTTCAATCCAAATTTTAAGAATGGCCATTATGGTCAACTTGAAAGCGACAAGAGTAATTACCCTTCTCCCAGAGTATATACATGATACGACATTTTTGCCACAGCAAGCCCAAGGGGGTCGTGTGAGTAATGGCTGTCGTGCAATCTATCTAGTGTCTTATTGAAGCACCTATTCTCAGAAGAATCATGTTGCTCACAGTTGTCATAGTAAGCATCCTCCCAAGTCAATACCCTGCATAATGCAGCATACCACATATCAAAATATTATGTGGGACATGAAATTGTGTATAACTCAGTAAAAGGAGCCAGAAATCTACATGCAAATGGAAATTTTCTCGAAAACTACACCCAATTTGATTATTTACGGACTGAAATGAATAGCAGGATTCACACTCTAAATTTATACTGAAGACCACAGATATTTGGGAAACTAACATGACTTAGGTACCAATCCTAGTGCAGCTCTGCTTTCTGTACCATTCTAACCTGCTTGAATTAAATTTGCTGATTCTCGACCAAAAAGAAAAAAAGAATACTTCAAAATCCATAATAGTAATAAGCAAGCAAATTAAAACTCACATTCGAGCTCGATACTTGAGTTTCCAGAAAATGGCGTAGTTCCACTCCGTATTGAAACAGAGGCTTCTTAGTACATGGTGCAAGTCAGAAGTACCCATCTCCTCCAAAGTCCAAAGCTTTTTCCTAAACAGCCTCTAAACAACACCACCAAACAAATAAAACCCCACAGCCTCCCCAAAATTTTAATTTTGGCGCGAATTTCGTGCCCTAACTTCCCCTGTAGGAGCCTCTACCCGCCTGCTTCCTCCGTAACCCTGCTCGCCGCTTTATTGGCGGTCCTACCTCCGCTAATAGCAAACGATCCGTCCCCATCCCCTCACACTGTTAACGCGATCACAGTACTACGCCACCAATACCTCACTTCCTCAACGACCTTCACAAACTCACAATCCCAAACCCTAGAAATACAGAGTAAGAGGCCACGGTACAGTTGGGTATGTTACAGTCCCTGCATTCAGCCATGAACTTGTACGGGAACTTCAAAAAATCTATAAAATAAAATGGAAGAAGAATTAGAAAACAACGAAAACGCTCCAATAGCTTCCAGATGAAACTAAACACAGAACGCGATCGATTTGAACCCTAGCGTATGTCCGACGACATGGATCTCTCAGGAAAAAAAAAAGAGTGAAAAAAAAAAAATTGAACTTTTTTCTGCGAATTATTTGGATGAACTGTACGGATTTCTTCACAGAGAGAGGTTCAGATTGAACAGAACAGAACGGTTTAGTGTGGCGATCTAAGAGTTCAGCAGAGCTTGTCAGATTGCTGAGAGGGGACTAGCTTTGAAGCTTTAGCTGAGAAGATGTATATCAAGTGCAGCAAAATTCAAAGCTCTGAGCTGCATTCGCTGCCATTTTTCACGACAATGCAGCTTTTTCGCTTTTTCTAGAGAGGGAAAAAGCAGAGAGAGAGAAGCTTCAATGGCTTTTTTATTTCAGAGAGAGAGAGTGTGTGTGAGAGAAAAAGCAGAGAGAAAGAAGGCGCTTTTGGTGCGAACCGCGAATGAGAGAGAAGTCACCGAGAGAGAGGGCGAGTGATTTGTTTATAATATAAGGAGAGTTTACCTTCGCACGCTGTTCATTTTAGCTTTTCTTTACGAAACGTGCACAATCGTTGATATAATGCGCCGGATGATGCTACACTGCGCATCCTTGGTGACCGCTGACCAATCACCACTAACCCCCCTTATGTGTAATTACCCTACGCATCCTGCGCACTTTAGCAACCCCCACCTTTGTCTCTTGAGTGTGAAAGATGGGAAAGGGTGAAAAAAAATGGTGGCCAAGGAGAAAAGAAGAGTGATGAGGAATTTGGCCATTGGGTGGGGGGTTGTATTATTGAGTTTATATATAATTTTGGAAAAGGAAATCCATTGATCCCAATTTTGGGCTATGAGTACACTTTCTAGGTAGTGTCCTTGATGGCCAACAACATGATGCCCATGTGAGGAAATTGATCCTTATCTTGCCCTCAATTTTCAAGGATACAATCCCCACCTCTTTTCTTAACCAACAACAAAATAAGATGAACTCATCCCTCTCCCTCTATTCCCTTTTGTTTTTACAATGATTTTATTGCCCCAAAGTTGTGACATCTTACACCCCCTCATTTTTCAATGTTCCCTTTCATACATTAACATTTTTCCGTCCAAACTATACGGTAGATGTTACCACTTCTTTTTTAGTCTGGTGATAGTTGTCTTCGATTAGTTAAAGAAGGTTTCAAGTTCGACTCATATAAACATGAGAATGATACACGTTATTGAGTATCCTATCATCAAGCGTTATTTGAAAACTCTAGTATAGTAACAATGATACTTGAGAGCATTTCCCAAGTATTAAAGGCATAGTCGACAAAGTCTATTATGTTGATAACTATAAGTAAAATGTTGTCAAATTATCCATCTTGGTGACTAAACACATTAGGTATTTTGAAGGATTTGGTATTATTAAAACACAGAAGGAAAACCAAGTTTGCCATCGGATGCTCATCGAGTGCCATTCAAGCATGATGATAATGCTTTCCATAAATCCAGAGAGCTCAAATTGGGTTCAATTTATGGAGGTGTGGCCAAATGTTTGGCTCTTCCTTGGTTTTCATGACATATTTATGAAGCAGCCTTTCCTGCACTGCACCAACTGGACATCATTTTTCGAATCCCATGATTTGTGTTTTAACAGTGCGATATTCGGTGATTATTGTCATTGATTTATAATCATTTTCTCTTTCTTTCTTTCTTTTTTTCTTTTTTCTTTTTTCTTTTTGCTTTGTTTTATATTTAATTTGTATTTGCTAGTCATGAAGAGAAACAAACAAACAAAGGAAAAAGAATAAAGGAACAAAATGATCGCATTGTCTGTTTTTTTTTCCCCAATCAATCATTAACAATTGAAATCCTTTATTTATCATCTCTAATCAAATCAAATGATCTTTTTTTATGGCTTTAATCCAACAAATTTAATTTGTCGGAAGTTATCCGAAGGGTTTTTCACCTAATTTCACTAGCAATACTAATGGCCATTAATCATAGGTTTTTTTAAAAATTTATTTAATATATTAATTTTTTTTACTTTCTGAAAGTTATTTTTGTGCTGTCGCATTTGACCCTGTCAATGTTCTTCAACTTTGAAGATTTGAAATGCTTTGGACGGTTAATAATTTTGATTAATTTTCTCAAAGAATTAGTGTCTATGAAGGCTTTAGAGGCTATGAAGTCAAGTAGGTTATGCATGAATAAGCGCTGTTAGTGATGCAAATGACATATCATTTTCCAATGTATAAAGAATAGTGAAAGGAATGAGTAGGATTGCCCATGATTACAAAGAGACAAAAGGAGAATGATAGCTTCCTCCCATATCAAACATGATATATTTGATTTGAGTATTTGTCCCATGCTAGAGAAATGGAAGTTTTGAATTAGCGTTTAAAATTCTCAAACATCTTTATCCGATTTATTGTTAATTAATTTTGAGTTGTATATTCTAATTGTATGTGGATTCAACTCCGTATGATAAGTTATCGATTGAAATCATAAAAAGAAAAAAGAAAAAATTCCACATAGTGTAGTGATAAAGCGATAAACACAAAGCAAGTTGTAAATTCAAACATTCTAAATTTCATTAGTCATTCTTCAAGGACTAAAGGCACTCAAGCTTATTTGATACATATGTTTTTTTTGTACAAATGATTACTGGTAACGAAAGTCTTTGTATTGTATCCATCAAGGGCTTATAACTCTTGCATTTGAGAGCATTACTTCAACACCTAAAGTTAAAAGTTTGAATCCTCTCTTCTCGTTGGCTGCTCTTATAATCGAAAAAGTAATCGATAAAAGAATGGTGATTGAAATTTTTCTCGTCAAAAAAATTAAAAATGATAGAAAAAAAAAGATAGTGTGAAAGTTTTGAAATTGCATATGTAGATTCCAAAAGGGACCTTTTCATTGCTTTCTCTTTTCTTTCTTTGACAGAGTTGGGAACCAAGATCATCCCAAGTAGATCTAGTAGCTTAGCTTTTTACTAACATGTAATCTATCAAGGTGATTCCTTAGTCTCCCTTATCATGAGTATTATTTTGATCTGCTCTCTCTCTCTCTCTCTCTCTCTCCACAAGTCAATATCGACGGGCGTCAATGTGGAAGCTCCATTTGAATCCAATGCTACATTATGGAGAAAGATATGTCACACTAGTGGCCATTACAATTTATATTAATAAATTGTCCTAATTTATTCTTTAATTTAGCCAAAAATATAAAAGCAAGAGCAGCTAGATAAATAAAAAAAAGTGCATATCTTTCTTTCTCTCTTTTTATCTTGGAGGCTTGTCAACTTGCCAAACTCTATGAGGACCCATTTGTGGCCCTAACGAATCAAGTGAAAGAGAATCCTATGATGATTACGATTTAAATTTTTTATTTTTTAGATTAACCAACTTTTCATATTGTTTAATGCGAGATTCATAATTACATAGATTAATTTTAACTTTACAAGCCGACGGATTAAGAAAAAAAGAAAAAGAAAAAAGCGGAATGCTTGTTTAATCAAAATATATTACTATGAAATGAATATTCCTTTTTTTTATATGAATATAAATTTACATTTTTTTTTTGTTTCAAGCGATATTGGAATGGGGGAATTCAAACAAGGGACATCCGGTGCAGGAATAACTCTTCTTAACCACTTGAATTACAAATCTCTTGCAATATCTTTTTTGGTCTAAATATCTCTTACAATATCAGCTCACAAAATTGGTGCAACATAAAATGTTCAATCAGTCGAGTAGTCAACTAGATAATGATATTTCCATCCCCAATAGAAACAAAATAATGTTATATTTTCTTTGAAAGTTTTGTTTCTTCAATAATGATCATTAACCATTAAAAACAAGCAATTAAATAAATAAATAACTATTAGTAAGACTGATAAGAGTCCAAACCCCAAGATACATAATCTTTGGAAAAGTTACTTTCGGAGAATATAATGACAATGATATTTCAAAAAAAAATTATCAGAGCAGAGGTATTGAGTCTATTGACCAATGTATATATGGGAAAGTCAAACACGATGTGTCTAATAAAATAAGTTACGTGCCGAAAAAGTAACACCCCACTCACCAAGGGAGGTACAAAATGATTTCAAGCCACAAGTAAATTTTGGTAAGATTAGGACCTAAGAGATACATCCAACTTTCCAACTTTCCTACTTGTGCACTTGAAGCTTGAAAGATAAGGTGGATTTAGTGGCATTTTTCATTCATTAAGCTACTAAAAATTTGTTGATTATAGCACAACAAACTTCCGTCCACGAGATTTATATTCAGAATATCTGAATCTCCTTCAGTATAGTAAATGTTGAGATGCAACTAAACGAAATGGTGATTGGCTACTTTAAATTTGGAACTTGTATCGCTCAAGTGGCGATACTCTCTCTTGAGTATCTGTTATATAGGTACTAACAAAATCTTTGTATATAAAAGCTTTGTAGAGTGGATTGAAGTCCATAACTAGGGCTTTTGCAGGCTCAATATGGCAGGGGCTAGAAGGATGTATGAAGCTGGTGACTGTGGTCCTTGAAACCTTGTTGTTTGTCACAACTCTGTGGTCTGCACTGCTCAGTTTCCCATTGCTGATAATCTGCAACACAAATTCATGACAAAACTTTTTTTTTAATTGCATAGGGACTAAAAATGGAAAAAATTACTAAAAGGAGTTAGATATGTATGTGTGGGTGCAGAACCTGTAACATGTGACCTATATTAACCACAAATGCATTGGGGACAGGCTCAACAGCAAGCCATTGCTCATCTTTCAAGACTTGAAGCCCATGAACTTGTTCTTGGAGAAGAAGAGTTATGAGGTTCACATCACTGTGTTTAGGCAATCCCAAGGTTAAGCTTGGGTCTGGACATGGTGGGTAAAAATTTGTAGCCATATCGACTGAACTTGGCTGAGTTTACCCTAAAAAAATCTAGATTTGAGCCCTAACCCTTCACAGATAAGATCCAGAAGACACAAACTCAACTTCCTCACCTCCACAGAGTAACTTCCAAACACCTCTCTGAGAAATTGCAGAAGAAAAAAAAAACAGAAAATGCACATCTTAAGTCTTTGATGTTGTTAATTAATGGTGATTTAAAAATTAATGCATGTTTTGAACGGGGGATTAGCATTAAACATACTGATAACTAGCCGGTTTTTGAGGGCAGAAATCAATGTGTTCCTCTAGAGGATGACAAGGGTGTCTCAAAGTGTCTCTCCAGTAATGTACCTGCTCCCTCACATAGTCAATGCTGCTGTACAATCTGCAACTTTGCCCAGCATCTTCAGAATACAAGCTTGCTTTGTCTTCAGAAGGCAGCTCAAAGAACTCCTTGCCCACATTCATTACATTGGCAGAAAATTGTCTGGAACCCCATGATTAATCAGCTGCATTTGCCATCACAAAACTAACTAAGAAATAGTTATTCAAACAAACCCACAAAATAACAAGATACAAAAAGAATGCCAAACCTGGAAAAGTCCAAATTCTTTAGCAGCCTCTGTAATTTGCTTGATCAGCTGGGCCTTGTCAGTCCCAAGTTGATGAAAATCAATGACTGGGATGTTCTCAAATATAGAAACTTGCACATTTCCGGTTCTAGTTCCAGGTGGCAGTATGTAAGATTCAGGTACAGATTGCAAGTCACTTCTGTCTGATATGAGCTTCTCCATTTTTCCAGAGCAAGTTCAAATGAAAATGTCCTTAAATTTTCAGCTAGTTTTTTCTTCCTTATCAGTACCAAAATATATATATTATTTATGGGAGAACAATTTTCACATAATAAATCTTGAACCCAAATAAGAACAAAGCTGAGCTCAGTGGAATCAGAAACCTTAGATTCGTCACCCACAACAGTACAAAACAACCATTAATTGGTTTCTTTCTTACATGGCCTAACCAGCCATGGCCAACAACCATGTTTTAATTTGTGTGCAGCCTTATCCTGGAGGGTCATGGATTCTAGCCGCAACCCTCGCCTGGCTATTGTGACAGAGGTGACAAGTGTCAGCATGACAATAATTTAGTGAAAATAAATAGGCTGGATCTGCAAGCAATTTTGTTTAAGAATATTTTGATAGTAAAATATGCTTCTAACCTTGCAGCATCTTCATTGTTTTTTTATTTTTTTTATTTTTAGGTTAGATTTTTATATATATATATATATATATATTTTAGGTAATATGAGGACCCAGAGGCCCAAAAACAGAAAAACTCACATCAGTACATCCCTGGCCCGATTAACACCTCAAAGATCATCAGCTAGTAAGCCCAAGATAGAGAGGCTTCCATTTTAATGAACTGTGAGTTCATCTATTACCAATTTGGCAAGCATTTTTACAGCTGTGTAGTTCATTTCCTTAGCTAAATTTGCTCTATCTTCTGTTTTTCTGGTGAACTTGGTTTTTAATGGACAGTTGAATTAGAACTTAATCATAGCCAAAATAAAAAAGATGATCCAAATTCATTAGGATTTGGGGGTCATGAAACCAAGTAGCCCCCAACTCACTTGGAAAGAAAAAGAGAAAAACTTTAGGGACTTTTAGGTATCTAAGTCCAAAATGAACCTATATATATGCACAAAATATAGAATGAATTCAAACAAAATACATCAACTTGTACTGGTACAAAAATCTCTCAACAAAAAATTTATGTAGTCTTCAATCCATGGACAAGCATGCTTGTTTTGTTCCTTCACTTCTTCTGATGTACAACTTGATAAGCATGCTTTGGTTTCCACTCTCATCCAATTTTCTCTTAAAACCTTTGCCATGGCCCATGCATGCATGATATGTAAACATCACCAACCTTGAGGCCACCTTTTCTGAGGATCCAATCTTGGGAACCATGACTTCTTTGAATTCGAACCCAGTGTAGTAGTAGTAGTAGCAGCAGCAGTCTTCCTCTTTGGTGTGAACAAAAGCTTCAAGATAAATTGTTTTCTGTTCCCGCTCGGCGTTGGAGGACACTGTTGTTTAGATGCAGGAGACTTAGGCAGGTTGTTGAACTCATCATCAGCTGGGAAGATCTCGTCGCGTGTTCGAATTGTGTTGAGCCTCAGATACTTCTGTTCAAGTGACTCTTTTGGTATGTTTCTTGCTAACAAGGGAGAAGCACCACCCCAGTTGTTTGCGGCCAACCCCAATGATGATGGGTGTTGGGGTGTTCTAAATTCCAGCAAGTCTCTCTGCCTCATATCTGCCTCCCTCTAATTCCCAGCCTTCCAATGTGATGCTCTTTGTGCTGGCATCTTGGGGATCTTTTTATTGTAGCTGTAAGAAATTAAATCCCCAAAGCTCCATTGGTTTCTTCACATCCAATTATATTAGTGATTAATTAGTAGTTACTTTACTAAGCCGGCCTCTCACACACTCAATCACAATCTGTCTTACAAGTTTGCTGGGTCCTGCAACTGCAATATAGTTACATGTGGAACTTCATTATGTGATGTATGCAAATACGAATTATACGATATATATAAGATCCATCCATTTATACACATACAAATTATACTATATATATATATATATATATATATATATACACGGTCCATATGTGACCATAAAGAAAAATTCAGTCACACTACTACATATGGCCTTAAATTTTGAGGGTTTTTGTCTTTCATTGAGGAGGGTCCAAATGGTAACTTGTGATTCAGAAGGGTTGAGAATTGTTGGAGACAAAAGGGGACGATTGCTTCAAGAACTTGGTGATGTAAACGTCCATTTGAGCAGACAAAAATGGTGCAGATGCCAACAAAAAAGGAAACTACAAAGTTATTTCCTAGTTGGTTGGTCCTCGTTAAATTTTGTTGTTCTTTCTTTTTTCTTTCCTTTTTGAGTTCTTGGGATTTTTTTTCCTGCAACCTAAAAAGGATTGTTTTGCTCTGCAGAAGAAGTTTACATCAGAAATATAGAAGAAATCAGGTTTAGTTTTCTATGCAGACAAAAAGATTTGAGGGAAAAGAGAGAACCACCAATTTCCAACAGGAAGAACAATTCTGATTCTCCACAGCACCACGTGTTATAATGAAAGCTAAATCACTAAAAGAAAGATTGCACAAAAGAATCGTTATATGTCAAGGGATTAAGCATCTGGAAACAAAGCAATTCGCTGCATCAATAAACTGAAGGGCTAATATAGTAGTATACATGTATTATACTAGAAAACCACATCATAAGCCACTGATATACCTGTGGAGTAATTCCTGTTCGCCACAGACAACCCGCGGCCAAAAGGGTGTTGGCCACTCTGGGCATGTCATGGCTAGGGAAACTATGGCTTATGGCCCTTTTTCTAGCAGTAACAATACATCAGTTTGCATTGAACTATTTTAACTGTTTGTGATTTTCTTTTCAAATATTTCACCATAACTGTTTTAAGCTTAAATCCTACATCCTACATCCATTATTAATTCCTTTTTAATTTCTAAATTACTTTCAACACATGCATATATCTGAAAGAAGTGGAACGTATGGGGTAAAGCCTCAATCATCATGAGGGCATATTGTGTTGATTTATACAGTATTACAGATAGAGTCCTATATCAAATATGATAAGAATAAAATGTAATCAGATAAACTTGCGATCATGCTTGATATGGACAGCTTGAGAGACAGAGGGAAAAGCAGCAGCGGAATCAGAAGAAGAGGCCATGGGGAAAAGAAACGTATGGGGTAAAGCCTCAATCATCATGAGGGCATATTGTATTGATTTATACAGTATTACAAATAGAGTCCTATATCAAATATGATAAGAATACAATGTAATCAGATAAACAAGAGGAATCCCACATGGGATAAACGTAAATACTAAGGACAATAGTCATCTAATAATATCAAACTTTAAAATATCCGCAAGTGTTTGTGCTTTCCACAATGTTCGTCCACACATGAATCAAGATTCAAAGAATCTTGTAAGAATCAAATTCAATACTAATTTAATGATATTCACCCTTTTTCAATTTAATATATCAAATAACACATTCATTTAATCTGACAGAAACCATTTAATATAACATGCTACACTAGAATATTTAGGACTTTTTTTCGCTTGTTTAGTTCAGACAGACCACATACAATTTTTTTATTCAGGCCAAAGAAAAATAAATAAATCTTATTGAAAAAAATAAAGAGGCTAGGCATTTCGTCAAAACAGCTTGGCTCCTAAGAGGAACAGAAGAGGGGCACTTGCGGCAAGGCTTGAAAAGCCAGGGGAAAACTTCAGTGAATGCAACCGCTTCCGAGCTCTATGCGACTCCGCTGCCGGTTTATTTATGCATCTGCTAAAGAGACCGTTGAAAAAATATTGGCCATTGCACTGATTTCAGGAATATAATAAATGCAGCCAATCTAGCACATTGAAAAGAATATAACCATACTTCTGCTCTGTCATTTTCACAGCAAAAATATCATGGTCAAGTAGGAATTTAACCAAGAACATGATACTCTCAACATGCAGGCATAACCAAAACAGAATTCCTTTCAATGCTTTGATTATAAACAGGCAAAGAGTAGCAAAAAAATATGTTGCAGAAGATCAAGCTATGGCACCAGTAGTATGTCCATACATGGTCTACATGAGATTCAAGCCACATCTTCTCATGGTTTTGACACAGATTGGCTATACGTTTCTCTACTTTATAACCGCTGTATCCTTCGATCATGGGATGAACCCTCATGTCTTTGTAACCTATAGACATATAGTAGGTGGCTTAGTGATGTTTCCATTTGCCTATTTTCTTGAAAGGTAAATGACTGAGGCCCTCATGCCTTTATACATGCAACAAATAAGTCTCATCTGAGGGTTTACCATTTCAATTTCTTTATTTGTTTTCCTGCAGAAAAGTAAGGCCAAAGTTGACACTAGCATTGTTTCTGGAGATATTTGTACTTTCTCTGCTAGGGTAGGGCACATATTTTTCTTCCAATTAACATGAAATGAGATATTGATCTTTGAAATTATCTGATGCAGGAAAAAACTAACCTTTTTCTCTTGATGAAAAACAGGGTTAGCTTAACCCTTAATATATATTTTGCAAGCTTGAAGTACACTTCTCCGACCTTTGTCACATCAATTGCTAACACCGTTCCATCCCTGACTTTTCTAATTGCTGTCATACTCAGGTGGGGACACTAAGTGTTCATGTATACCTGGGAGATAAGTATACATCCTTCTCTTGCTTTTGACAAACTTTTTAATACAAATTTCATGTAGGCTGGAGGCTGTAGACGTTATGAGTCCCCATGGAATAGCTAAAGTCTTCGGAACCTTACTATCTTTGGCTGGGGTCATGACCATGACCTTGTACAGAGGACCTGCTGTGCAAAGCTTCCCAGGCGCTTCAGTACACATCAGAAGTGATTCTGTTCACAAAAACTGGATGAAAGGATCGATCCTAATCGTTGCGAGTTGTATATCGTGGTCCATATGGTTCATAATGCAGGTATTCACCATGATAATCTCATTGGATGTACTGGTTTTTCTATCAACATATCCTTTATTAACCTTGTCCAAGACCATGCATGCATTATCGACACCGGAAACATTCTGATTAAAAAAAAAGACCATAAATGATAAACTAAGAAAGAGTAGAATGATACAAGGGAGTTCATTTACAGTAAATATTGTGCTACTCGTAGGGAATCACATTGAAGAAATATCCTGCACAATTGTCTCTAACCACATGGATAAATTGTATTGGGGCAGCACAATCGGCTGTTTTCACAGTAATTATAGAACACAAACGGGCAGCTTGGAGCATTTCGTACAACAATGAGTTCTGGTCTATCCTATATGCTGTAAGTAAAATTATGATATGAGTAGAAATTCTAATTTATTAGGTAGCTATTAATATTTAATTGTGTATCTTTTGATGGTGAACGAAAACAACAGGGAATTGTATGCTCAGGTATCACAATCTTCGTACAACTGTGGTGCATAAAACAAAAAGGACCAGTTTTTGTGACCATGTTCAGTCCCCTTGCAACATCATTGGTGGCAGTTATGGCGTACTTCATTCTCGGCGAAACACTGCACGTTGGCAGGTAGAATCACATTTTATGCCACAAACGCGAGCACACGCACACATGCACACACAGACACACCCTCACTCTACTTTTGCCGATGTCTAAGTTGATATTTGGCTTACCTCAGAATACTTGGAGCAGTCATTATCATCATTGGACTATACTTGGTTTTATGGGGCAAAGATATAGATGAAAATCATAGCAGGCCCCAAGATCAAGCTATATTGACTAGTGCTGAGCTGAAGAAACCCAAGATACAAATGGAACCTTTAGCAGAATCACAGGTCCTCGAAACGGACCTTGAGAAGAAAGGTGCAATTGTTGGTTGAAGATTATGCATCTATGATTCAGAATAATGTAATGGAAAGTAAAACACTTCGTATCGAGCGCTGGCATGTTAAGGTCGATCAGTAAGATCCAAGATGTATCATATTCTGCTTTGAAGTTCATGGGAAGAGACATGAAATATTCAATTGTGGTTAAAAAAAGGCCTCTTAGAAATGCAATTGAAAACTTGCACATCTCAATCAGTTCAACCAAGCCTTTTTTTAAAAAAAAATTTGGTGCTGCTTAGGAATTTTTTGCATTTATTTACAAAAAAGAAAAGAACACCAAAAAATGCAAAAAGGAAATGGATATTTCTATAATATTGTTGCTAAATAACAATCTTCACAAAAGCCTTCATACTAACTACATGATTAGGCTACACGACTAAGCCGCCCAGATTTACTTTAAATGAACAACTAATTAACCAAAACATATATAAATGGGGAAATTGCACATCACCCCTAAATTTTATTCTTCCAGTAACCTTAAAAACACCTAGCATTCTCCAGCTACTTTGCGTCTTCAAGCCGTGCACGTATGGATTCGGGGTTTGAAATCTTATTAATCCTGCAAAAAGAGGGACACAATGACATCAAACACTTCGATCAAGTTTCTACTTTTTTTTTAATGGAATATAATATATATTTACACTAGAAACATACAATCTATATTTCTGATTAAAAAGAAACTTACTTGACCAAAAGATCTCTTCCAGGTGCTAAATTTTCAGAAATCCATTCCGGAACCAGTTCAAGCAACAACTTAAGTTGCTCTTCAACTTCCCCTATGAAAGAAAAAACCATTAAAAGGAATTCAGCCTCAATTCATGCTTCCATCCAGTGGGAAATTATCTGTTTTTGTATATAGATTACCTTCATCAACAATATCAGAATGGCTAAAAATGATCTTGTCAACAAGATCCTCTTTTTTCATAAAAGAATAGTTCATTGATTGAAATAAGAAATGAATCATATTGAAGAGTTCAGGAAGGCTGGAAATCATCTGTCGCCGCCTCTTTGCTAGCAAGATGGCCTTCCTCTCCTTATCCCTAAGCTGCAAAGAGATATATGGATACTTCTCAAAATTACAGTTCGTTATGTTCATATCCAAGTAGACATAAAAAGGGAGAATTCATGATAGACATACTGATTGCAAAAGATCCTCTGGAAGAACATCGAAAACATCACTATCACTTGATGCATCATCCAGAACAACTGCTTCTTCCTCGAACATGTTATTCTTCACAGGAATATTAAATTTCAGTGACCTTGAGCATGGAGGATGCCTAGCCAACTTGTTTGGCGAGCTTGTAGAAATATCATCTGGGCTTGACATTTTATTCTTCATAGGAGTATTAAATTTCAATGACCTGGAGCATGGAAGACACTTAACCAACTTGTTCGGCGAGCTTGTAGAATCATCATCAGAGCTCATATAACATCGCTTTGGTGGGTGCAATGCAGGTGTGAGGGTCATCAACCTGGCTGGAGTTGAAGCAAGCTTTTCTGGAGTCAACGTAATACTAGCACTTGTTCTGGGCAAACCATCATCATCTTTTATGGGCCATATCTTTTTGGTTGGAGTTGCAGGCGCTTGACCATACGATGAAGAAGCAGTTTTAGTTTCCTCAATGAAGCAAACTGCATCGAGGTTTGAATTTGGAAGTGAAATATTTGGAGCTTGGGCGTCAGTTCTTGTAACTTCCTGTGAAGACTGCATTTGAAAAGACTGAGACAGATAAGCTGCTATTGCTGGTTGCTGATTTTTAGGCAATTCAACTGATGTCTTAATCACCAGTGACCGTTTGGGAGTGTGGTTTATGTTAGAATTCAAATCTTCCTTTGACTGATTAGATGGCATTGGATGCGTCTCATCTGGAATTTCATCACCCCGAAGGCAGATTGTTGATACTGCTGGTTGCTCAACCTCACCAGGAGATGAAGATGAGGGAAACTTGACCCTATCTGAATGCATAGACTGCTTCGCAACATTGAATGGATGGGGCAGAGTTTCTTCAGGAATTTCATAATCCTGAACACGTATTACGAATTCTTTGATCACATAGCATTCACAGTGCAGTTCAACAAAAATATAGACAATATGATAGAATTAAAAGCTTGAAGTCCCCAGTAGTGAAGCTTGGTTCCCACTTAGGAAAACTAAACAAGTTAGATATTTGAACATCTAATGTAGGAAAGGGTTTCGATTAACCTTAAACCCTGCTGTGTTATATTGGAAATGAGTATATGTAGGGTATATACCTCAGGATGAGATTTTGAAATATCCGCAAGCCGTTTCCAGAAGGCCTTCCTCAAATGCATAATTGCACCACCACCTTGAGATTTCAACATGCCATTATTCTCTACTGCAACAATATTCATGCTAACATGAAGATCCGGCTTCCTACGACAGGTTCGCTCATCCCACACAAGCAATTTCTTTATCTCAATCACCTCAGGTAAAACAAACTTCAGCTGAGCCAAGTAACCATATGTAAACCTCCTAAAATGAGACAAACAAAAGTCCATCACTTTCTATTGACTTGTTTCATTTCTTCAGAAACCAAACAACACGTTAAAAGGATCTCTTTTTTTTTTTTTTTGCTTAAAGAAAAAATACCTCTCCGTTAAATACTCAATTGCCGGGCAAATATTGGTAAAAATTGACTTCAAACCCTTCTTCCGCAACCTCCGAATCGAAATATCCAAGCAATTGAAAAACTCACCCAATATCTCATACCTGCAAAAACACCCACAAAATGAAATAATCAAAACCCACCTGACAAAATGAATAAATTAAAACCCACCTGAAAATGTCAGGAACAAATCTGTCAAATCATATCCATCTAAAACTCAAAGAACCTTACTTTTCCGGTAGCTTCACGGGTCGGCGAATACGGGTTTTCTTTTGGGTCTCCTCGGGCCAAGAATCTATCTGGTCCGTCCGTTGCTTCTGGTTTGACTTGAAGAGACTTTTGGAGGCAGATCTTCTAACTTGTTCAATGGAGAGCGCGATGTTGCAGTTGCGAGCTCGGCGACGGAGCTGTTGGGGCTTCTCAGGGGTTTTAGTGCTCAGTATCTCATTTTCTCGGACTTGGGGCTTAGGGCTTAGGGCTTCGCTTATGGGTGTCTTGGATTTTAAGGTCTCTGAGGAACTCATTGCAGAGGCCAGGAGAAATTTATGATTTTGAATCGATCAAAAGGCGAGATCTTGAGGACCACAGTCTCACAGAGAAGGTGAAGCGATAGCCATTTGAGGGTTGTCGGTATTTACAGGAGCTCTCTGTGGCGGGAAAGATGAATCGGTGCTCGCGTGGCCCATGGCTTCGCGCCAAATAGATCCGTTGGCTCTTGGGTTTTTCTTGGTGTCGGGGCAAGCCCAATGTCAGTATTATTTGGGCCTTCTGCAGGCCCAACCCAAAGGTGCCATTTACTCTATATTTCTTATGTTTCTACACTAACCTACTAGAAAAATGATTTTGTTTTTCATTCCAACGCAATGAAGTCTTTTGAAGCATCAAAGACTCAAGAAGAGGCTCCATTTTAGTATTTACCCAACTTCACGTCTCCTTCCTAATTTTCTTATATTGAGACAATTTAACAAGCAAACCCAGAGAGAGAGAGAGAAAATAAAAAAACTAAAAGACCCAAAAAGCTCCCTTCTCTCTTCGGTTTCTCCTCTGCTTTTAATTTGTATTACAGGAACAGGACCATTGCTTCAGCTTCCCCATTTTAACCTCAACACCTCTCTTGCCCCTTCACCTTTTTCTCTCACCGTCTGAGTCCTTTTTGATTGGGGTGTCTTTTTCGAAGCGTATCTTTTCTGGGTTCCAATAAATTTGATTGATTTCAAATCTTGTTTGGATGTTGCCTCGTGGGTCGGAGGTAAAGTCTCGTTCTTTAACTGCTTTATTATTGCTCGTTCTGGGTTTTGTTTGTTTAGCCCAAAAGAGAAGGTGAAGGTGTTGGAGGTTTTTTTTCAATCCTTAATTATGTTAAAAATCATAATTTTATTTTTCTTGTTATTTGTTAATCTGGTTTTCTGTATCTTTTATAATTTATTTGTTAAAATTTGATATGTGCTTTTATGAATTGACTTCTGGTCAAGGATAATAACTCCCCTCCGAGATAGTTGGGCTTAAGAGTGCTAAATGATTAGATTGTAGCAGTCATTCCGGCTTTCGGATATGACTATACTTTTTTTGCAGAAACGTTATAGCACTTTCTCAGAAAGTAACCAGCTGAGGTATATTGCTTTATGTAGGAGAAACAACAAAGTCGGTTCTAGGGTCTTAGGAATTTGTGTACTCCTCGGAGACTCCAATTGCATTGGAGGTTCTGTGAGTGGTTATAACAGTTGCACCGTATGGCTTTTACTCAACTGGATAGTGATACAAGAACCTCTTTTCTAAGTTTGGATTGTTTCATATTTATTTACTAATTTATTTATTTTCTTCCCAAACGATCAGCTGATTAGTTTAATATGCTTTAGAAAATGAGTAGTTGCTTTCAATGATATTTATACTTATTAAACTGTAAATGTGGTGATAATCTGAGTGTGGTGGAAGTGCTTATTATCTTTGTTACATCATGCTCTTTCTTTTCCTCCTTGCATATACCAAGCTTTGTTTACATGCCTGTAGAAGGAACTTATCTTATGCCTTTCATACTTACAGAACCCTGCTTAACTGGTATAGTGGTTTGTGGAATGGACTGGCTGTATCTGCACACTGTCAGCCTTTGTGAATGATGTTCCGTTGGTTGAAGGGTGTGAAGTCTCTTGGCATTTTTAAGTTGAATGGCGAATCATCTTTGACTGCAGCGTTGCTCAGGGATGTGCCTCCTGAGGTTGAATTATCTGAATATGGAAGGGCACCAAGTCCTGGCAGTGAGAGCCCTTCTGGGCTTCTTAATGGTGAGAGTGTAAATGTGGAACCAATTGCTGATTTGGACCTGTTCTTTGAAAGGCTCTACAGCTACTATTGTGAGAAAGGGCTTTGGTGTATTATTATAAAGTGGATAGTTGAGCTTCTGAGCTTGGGATTCACTATATGCTTCTCAGGATTCTTCTTATTATATGTTGATTGGAATGGTCTTCGTAATGCAAAGTGTGGGATGGATGCATTTGAATCTGGAATTAAGCCCTGTGACCTTGCTAAGGAAGCCCTTCATCAGCACCCACTAACGCCTCTGACGCTTTCTAAAGCTATCATTGTGGGATATTTGGGTATATTCTCCATTTATTGGGTCTTCTGTTTTTTGAGGTTTTTTGCTCAATTAAGGGATACTTTGGGAGTCCGTCACTTCTATCACAACAGGTATGTCTGAATACTTCGATCTTCAAAATTTTAATTTGAGCAATGATTATGGTTTGTACAAAACCTATGCCTTCATAACATTGTCTTAGTAACGAATGGTGATTTTGGTTGTCTTCTTGCAGCCTCCATGTCACAGACAATGAAATTCAGACTATGCCATGGGCATCAATTCTTGAAAAGGTTGTTCAGCTCCAAAGATCACAGCAGCTCTGTGTGGTCAGGGATCTTTCTGCTCATGATGTGGTTATGCGGCTGATGCGGAAGGAGAACTACTTGATTGGAATGCTTAACAAGGGGGTGCTTGCTTTCCCAATCTCACAGTGGGTCCCAGGTGCTGGTCCAACTGTCAAATTTGGCTCCGATGGAAAGCAAGAACGTCTAATACTGACAAAAACCCTTGAGTGGACCTTAAATTGGTGCATACTGCAAAGCATGTTTGATCGGTAGGGTGAATCTTAGTACAAATATCTTGCAATGCATTTTTAATTCTTGATTTTACTTGATGTCTTGATCTTATATCCAGCTGACACATGGCCAATATCTACAAGCATCTAGAATATGTGAAAGACAGCATGTCATTATGATGTCTTTTTCTTGTTTTGATAGTTAGAAGTTTTGTTTGAGCCATAGTGAATATTGACCCTAGGTGCACAGAACAAACTTTAAAGCTTTGTTAGAGTATGGTTTGGTTCAGTTGTTTATTCATGTACCAATAGTTCGTAATGTGGATTTACTTTTGTATGAAGTGAGTAATATTTCTTTCAAACAGGATGCACTCTGGAGTTTGTCCTGTGTGCTTTCCGAGTTTTGATGATGTGTACTCTTGCTGCAGAAATTTTTGTGTTAGAAGGGACTTTATCTCAAATCCAAGAACATTAAAGAAAAGGCTTATGGTAGTTGGGCTTGTAATGCTTCTCCTCTCGCCATTTCTTGTCATATTCATGCTGGTATATCTCTTCCTGAGGCATGCAGAACAATTTTATAATCATCCAAGCACGGCATCATCTCGAAGATGGTCAAATTTATCAAGGTGGATGTTTAGGGAATTTAATGAGGTAATATTTTTCTTCTTTCTATTAAGTTAAACATGATCCTTTCCCCATGTCTGGTACTTATGCTAATATTGAAACATGCATTCTCGATGAAATTTTTGGCATCAGATTCTTACATTAAGAAACAGTTCACACGAGGACACTTGGAACTTGGTTCCCCAATTCATATGAAAGTGAAACCATATGAAAAATTGTGGCTTTTCTGAATTGGCACGTTAACATGTTGGGTTTACTTTATTTAATGAAATTGTGCATTTATGCATATTTCTAAAAACTAATGTTGCCCTCTCTTCCTGACTGGTTTTTTGTTTGCAATGTCTATAATTTTATGGTATTTTGTATTTCTCTTTTTGGATTAATTTTACAACTGGTATGGTGATGTGGCAGGTGGACCATTTGTTTAAGCACCGAATCAATAGCAGCATAGTGCATGCTTCTGATTACTTGAAGCAATTTCCTTCTCCTATTATATCTATAATAGCAAAGTTCATCTCTTTTGTTTCTGGTGGCTTTGCTGCTATTCTAATCATCATCGCATTTCTGGAGGAATCTCTGCTTGAGGGCCATGTAAGATATTCATATTTGTACTTAATGATGCCATGTTAGGCTGTCTGTATAGATATCGATTCTAACTCTTAACTTATTTTGTTTCTAAAATATTTTTGAATCATGCAGATATTTGGTCGTAACTTGTTCTGGTATGCTGCTGTTTTTGGAACTATAACCGCTATTAGCAGGGCTGCCATTACCGATGAGCTATTGGTCCTTGATCCAGAGGGGGCCATGTCTATGGTGGTGCAATATACACATTATATGCCGAAGACATGGCGTGGTAAAGAGAATACTGAGAGGGTTCGGATAGAGTTTGAAACCCTGTTTCAGGTAATCCAGGGACACTTCATTTCCTTTTGTTTATCTTAAACTGCAATTGATATGAGGACATAAGTTATGGGCATGCCACTTGAGGACATAAGTTATGGGCATGCCACTTTAGTGGTTTAGAGTAGCTTCTATTGATAAGGTCCGGAAAGATGGGGCATATCTTTTGCCAGTTGGTGAACCACAGATACTTACTAGGGCCGGTTTCTGCATTACATACATAGTTGATACTACATAGTCTTAAATTACTTCCCAGTAAATATTTGATTGTTCATGATTCTATACTGTTTCGAAAATAATTTTGTTTTTGGTTTTTAACTATATAACCTATGTGTGAAGATTGATCTACCCTTTTCAGCATTTAATTTAATTATAGCCATCAATGGAAACAAAATAACAGTTATGACATATTATGACTAAAACACAAATTAAGTTGCTGCTCATGCTATTTCGTTTTCCCCCCCTTTTTCTGTTTCTTCAAATGCAGTATACTGGAATGATGTTACTTGAGGAGATGGCCTCAATCTTCCTTACTCCATATTTACTTTTATTTGTCGTCCCAAAGGTCAGTTTTATCATAATTGTTAATCTGCTTTTATTTTTATGCCGTCTATAAACTATTTGCAGTTTCTTGTTCTAATATGCTTTTTGTTATTTTGCAGCGGGTGGATGACATTTTAGAGTTTATTGCAGAGTTCACAGCAGATGTTGAAGGTGTTGGTCATGTGTGTAGGTTGGTATTCATCATCGTCATTGTTGTCACCATCTTTTCATTTTTATTCTGGCACCATATCCTCTAAATCTTTCTGTGGAGGCCATTACTGGCTATGTTTGCTCTAACATTGACAAGATTCCGAAGTTTGACTGTCCTCTTGATTTCTTGACAGTTTTAGCGCCTTCGACTTTCAAAGACATGGTAATAGCAATTATGGGTCACTTTACAATGTACCTCGCTCTCAGAGGAGTTCTCAGGGAAAAATGGAGAAATCGTTTTTGAGGTATGATCACAAAAGCATTACTCCTACGATGTGCTCACAATTCTTTAAGCTGCAATAAAGTAGTTATCAGAAACATGCAATATCCCTGCGCTATTTCAGTATTCTCCCTGTTTTCCACTTAGAGCATAAGTATTTCTTGGGATGCTAATTAGGCGCCACCCAAATGATTTCCTTTCCAACTCAATTCTAATGAGCTTTCAAATTTTTGTGGCAGCTTCCAGAGTAACTATCCATCATGGGACCCAAATACTCAAGGAAATCAGTTTCTTAAAAAGCTGAGAACTTTCAGGGAGCAAAAGTTGCAGGGACATGGAACTAGACATGGATATTCTCCTCCAAGAGGCTTTGGTGACAGGAACAACTTTTTATTAAGGGAAAGGCCACATCATACCCTTGGAACTGGCTGTCAGTTGGGGTCTCTGTGGTTAATTGATGCAGATCAAAAAAATCACCCATATCTCCTTGATTGGTATTACACCTCTCGGCCACACCATACGACAAGTTATATGGGGGACATTCCAGAAGAACCATTTGAAGTTACTGAGCAACATTCTGCTGATTGGATGCCACCTAGCTTTACAGATAATCAAGTGAGATTTGAAGAACTCTGGGGGCATCATTATGAGGACCGTACACAGTCTAATCTGGGAGCTTCCACATCAGCCCCGTTCCACCGAGGGAGTGTACTTCAGCATCATGACGGTGGTAATTCTGCGCATCCAACAGGGAGTCATTGGTGGGCTAGAACTGGCCAACATCATGGTACACAGCCCCAGTCAAGTTTCCTTGAGCCCCCGGAGTTCGGCCAACATATCACACAGCCCCAGTCAAGTTTTATTGAGCCTCCAGATTTCATCCGCCAGCCTTCAGATAATTATTACGAAAATTTCTCAGATAGAAGCTTAGAGGAACAAGAACAAGAACAACACTTTGATTGGAAGAACTATCACAAGTTATCCCGAACTACTTACGTGGATGACTTAGACTTAGAGGCAGGAGACTTCAATCTTCATTTTGATGATGTATATAGTAGACCTCCTGAAACTCCCAAGATATAGCCATAGCCCCCAAACTTTTAGTGATCCATTCGTTCCCTCTAGTTTTTTCAAGAGGTTCTTGCTTAATTATTTGGGTGGTTTTTAGCTACTGGAATGTGATTTCTGTCTATAATACACGCATTTAAGGAATCTGTGTATTCTTTTCTGTATATATATTCAATCGATTCTTGATCGGCCAATGCCTGACTTGTGCGAGGGTGACTGAGGCCAGAGAGCGACCAGAAGCCCTCCAAAACCGTGCAATTACATTCCACGAATTTATTTGATATGTGATTTTTAAAATTTGTTTAAATTGTTTAATATCTGCCAAAAAGTTAATAAGTAAAGAAAATATGGAAATTTTGATCTCAAACGACGCCGTTTGGGTAACATTTTAGTTTTCCTTGTTCTTTTTGTCCTTCGTCTTCGCTTCACGGGCTTCCATCCAACTCACCAGCGCGAGGGTTTTTGCATAGGGTTTTAGCAAAATCCCAAACAAACACTCACAAAATTACAAAACTTTACAGTTCCGGCCATGAGAAAATCTCCAATCTCACTGTTCTCTCATCTCACTCATCAAAGACTTAAATCCTCTGCTCCTCTTCTTTCCAGAAATTACGTTTCTGACCGCGCCGCCTCCTCATCTTCTTCGCCGCTGGTCTCACCGACCCGTTTCAGGCCCTGCACCGAAACCCATGGCATATTCTTCAAAAGCAGCCAATTCCAAGCAAACCCATCTCGAAATATGAACACCCTTGTTGAAAGATCACCTCAAGTGTCCTCAAGGCAGAGAAAGTCCATGGAAAAATCTGAGCTTGAAGAGGCTTTTGAGTCTGCAAAGACTTCTGAAGAAATGCTTAAGGCTTTCAAGAACATGGAGTCAGCTTTTGATGAGAGAGAGCTTGGTTTGGCTTCTTTAAAAGTTGGCCTCAAACTTGACCAAGAAGGTGAGGACCCTGAAAAGACTCTGTCTTTTGCTACCAGAGCCTTGAAAGCTTTGGATAGAGATGATAAGCCTTCTTTGCCTGTTGCCATGGCTTTACAATTATTGGGTTCTGCCAATTATAGCTTAAAAAGGTTTAGTGGTAGTTTGGGGTACCTTAATATGGCTAATAGAGCATTGGGTAGATTAGAGGAGGAGGGTTTTGATGTTCGGGATATTAGGCCTGTGCTTCATGCTGTACAGCTCGAGCTGGCAAATGTAAAGACGGCAATGGGGAGGAGAGAGGAGGCTCTTGGGAATCTTAGGAAGTGTTTGGAAATTAAGGAGTTGATGTTGGAGAAAGATAGTACAGAACTTGGCAAGGCGAACCGGGATTTGGCGGAGGCATATGTCGCTCTTTTGAACTTTAAGGATGCATTAGGCTTCTGTACGAAGGCATTGGACATTCACAGACAGCAGTTGGGGCAGAATTCGGTGGAGGTTGCACATGACAGGAGGCTTCTTGCTGTTATTTATACTGGGTTGGAGGAGCATGAGAAGGCCTTGGGGCAAAATGAGTTGTCACAAAGGGTTTTGAAGAATTGGGGTCTTAACTCTGATTTGCTTCGTGCAGAAATTGATGCTGCTAATATGCAGATTGCTTTGGGAAAGTTTGATGAGGCTATTGATACTTTGAAGCGTGTTGTTCAGCAAACAGACAAGGAGAGTGAGACTAGGGCACTAGTATTTATCTCGATGGGAAAAGCCTTATGTAATCAGGAAAAATTTGCCGATGCAAAGAGATGTTTGGAGATTTCTTGTGGAATTCTTGACAAGAAAGAGACAGTCTCCCCGGTAGATGTTGCTGAGGCATACTCAGAAATATCAATGCAATATGAATCTATGAATGAGTTTGAGACTGCAATTTCACTGTTAAAGAGAACATTGGCTTTGCTTGAGAAGCTCCCACAAGAACAGCACTCGGAGGGGAGTGTTTCGGCTAGAATAGGGTGGTTACTTCTGTTGACTGGAAAGGTCTCACAGGCTGTTCCTTACTTGGAGAGTGCAGCTGAGAGGTTGAAAGAGAGCTTTGGTCCCAAGCATTTTGGTGTGGGCTATATATACAATAACTTGGGGGCAGCATATTTGGAACTAGACAGACCTCAGTCAGCTGCTCAGATGTTTGCTGTTGCGAAGGACATCATGGATTTTTCGCTTGGCCCCCATCATGCAGATTCAATTGAGTCATGCCAAAACCTCTCAAAAGCATATGATGCCATGAAAAGGTATGAATGCTCTTTCTGGTTTTTGGCTACATTTCCAGCTTATGTTCTTATTGTTGGAATTTATTAATTCATTCGATATTGAAATTACATTGCACTTGTGAATCTGCTAAGATGGTTACTCCTTTGACTTGTAATTCATACAGTGCAGAATTTGATATATAATTCACCGTGTTACTAGTTCTCTGTGCTATTTCTTGTAGTTCCTGTTCGGAGAAAGTAAACTTAATATGTATTGCAACTTAATTGTAGTCACATGCATAATCCTTTCATGTCTCTATTTATCAAGCAGAAATTAAGCGAGATGATTGGTGCATTTAGTAAAGATGTTTTGTCGTATGTTGACTGTTGAGGATTAATATATAAAGATATGTGTATCTGATAATTTATCTCATGGATTTTTCAGCTATGCCCTTGCAATCCAATTCCAGCAGCAAGTAGTTGATGCTTGGGATAGCCATGGACCAAGTGCTCAAGACGAACTCAAAGAAGCACACCGAGTTCTCGAACAATTGAAGAAAAAGGCCCGTGGCACATTTGCAAATGATGAGCATGCTACAAAGGCCTTGCCCTTACCCCAAACTCATCCATCTGCCAGGAGTTCATAATTCGATCTCCTGTGAATTAGAAGTGATTGGACATAATTTAGAAGATGCTTAAATTAATTGATCCATTGCATAAGAACATTGCAAGGATTGGGTAGCTTCATCGAGTGGTGGGGGTCTGTGGTTGCTGGTTTTAATTTTTTGGTCATGTTACGTAGCTAGTCGTGTAAACAGCACAATGTTCAGGGATTCCTAGTTCTTTTGTTTTTGGGAATTGGGGATGTCAATGTCTTCATATAGATAAGTATTGTGTACTAAAATAAATTTCATTGTTATGGATCTTCAATTTTATTTTGAATGAAATATTTGGCATCTTTGGCAGTGATACGGAAATAATAATCCTTTTTCTTTTGCTGAAAGTTGATGATTTTAGCCAGCATTTTGGAATTTAGCCTGGTTAAGAATGCTCTTGGTCCTTAATTGCTCAGCTGAGAAAGGATCCTACAAGCCTTTTTGCTACACTTATTATCCTTACAAGCACATGTATACAGTATGTTGTTCCTTCTGAATGAAACAGTGAGAGCGTAATGCCATAATTCAACTCAACACAATAATGAATACCTTCAGCACTCACCAACATTCATGTAATGGCTTCAAGACAAAAGAAGTGAGATCATTTCCAGGGAAATCTTTGTCCTGCTTTTCTCTAGCATCTGGGTCCCTATACTCTCTCTCTCTCTCTCTCTCTCTCTCTCTCTCTGTGAAACTCATATATGTATAAAAGAAAAAGAAGAGGTTAACGTAATCATTTTCATTCATGAAGAAGAAGAAGAAGATAACAAGCAATGATTCTCAAAACCCATGCCAGCGTTTCAGGATTAAGCAATAATCCCAATTGTCCAAAGCTTCTCGTTGTGTCTAACATCAACCCAAGTAACTCTACATTCGTCTATTTCATGCTATGTAACTATCAATTGCAAGTTAATAATTCCACCATCTCACCTTAATACCAAACACCAACTAACAAAATTTATCAACAAAAGAAGAAAAAGAGAAAGGAATTACAGGCACACTCATCAGGAAAAACTGCATTTCTAGACACTCTGCCCTGTCAAAATCGAAAACGAACCTTTTGATTCTGCTATCACATTCTTGGTTCTAAGTTTCTGAGCTTCTCCATTTTTCTTGGTGATTGACTTCTTCTAGGCTGTTCTATGACTTTCTATAATCATTTCTTTGTTGCTGCCTTGGTGGAAAATGACACCATCTTCTCCCCCCAACTCAATTACTACAAAGTCTTCTTCACTACCCATGAAGCTATGAGAAAACAACTCAGAGTCTTGAGGTGAAGTGCTTGGTGCTATGACATGATCAGTCGGATACCGGATAGTACCTGAAATGCTTGTTCTGCAGAGAGGGCAGTTTGCATTGCTTTGAAGCCATATATCAATGCAGTCTAAGTGAAACTCATGGCTGCAGTTGGGAAGAACTTTTAGTGTATCTTGCTCCTGAAACTCTTTCAAACAAACTGCACATCCACAAACACTTCTATCTTCAACTTCTCCTCCTTTGAATTGAACAGTTGGGATTCCGCGAATGACTGATTCGTCAAGCCCCCGGTTCCAAATTGATGGAGAGAAGGCTGTAAGAAGATCCTCCGTTTCTCGAGCTCGAAAGATAGGAAACCTTGACAGCAGATCAATTTGGTACCAGTTTGAGCAAAATTTGACAACAATGACATAGTAGCTCACAAGCAAGAAAGCTGTAGCCATGATGCTTAGTACAACAATAGCTAATATAGGAAAAGAAGAGTCTGGGCTAGGCAGGGGTGGCTGATAGTTTGAGTTTACCTGGTTTTTGATGGGTGGGAGAGCTTGATCAAATTTGTACAAGTGTTTCTGCTTTGGAGCCATAAACAAATGGTCTGTATGTGGCTGAAACATGGGAGTAATGGTGCCACAGATGCTGATATGTAGATTATGATCAACGGGTTCAGTGAGATCTTAAATTGAAAGATCATACAGGTTTTGGAAGATTGGTCTCTTGTCTTGGAATGTTTTTGTGGTCACACACTTGTGGGAAACAATGTAGGTCCCATACCTATCTTTTTATGACATGACTTAAAGACTAGAAATTAGAGACTGCAAGAGGTAAGAGTGATTAAGGTGTTATTAAACTTAACTAATTCTTAATGGTACTTCTTATTCTCCCGATGTTGAAAGAGGTTCCAAGTTTAAATCCTCCCTCCATTGATCGGAAAGAATGTGTTATTGGGCAAGACTTATAAAGGTTATCTGCGGAGTTGGCCTACTACTATTTTGTTGGACCCTGTCTCTTCATGGCAAATAAAAATCATCATCTTGGAATTTGTGCCCTCCCTGAAACATCATCTGGTACAAGCCCATTTCATCAAATTCTTTTCAAAATTTGGGCATTTTGAATTCTGAGACATGCACATGTCCTGGTGAATCTATTATATTATAGATCATATTTGCATGTGATAACTCTTAAG